AAACAAAAAGGCCAAATTAAAAAAAAAAAAAAAAAGCGCACTGCTCAGGACATCGGGCAAGTCAACCGGTGGGATGACCGGCTGGACGTCTGGTGGGACGACCGGTTAAGCCAGATTTCAAAAAAAAAAAAAAAATCCCGCTTGACACAGAGTTTTCTGTAGAGTTTTCTTTTTGTTGTGGAAATATAATTTCAAAACTCTATCCAAACATGGTATTAGAATGTGTGGGTAGAATTATAGCTTGAAAACCCTTCCAAACAGAGCCGAAATTTTTCTGGGTTTCTTCACAAATTTCTTTGTGAAAAATTATGAAGAAAGCAACTAAAAAAAATCTAAAAAATCAACTTTCCCACTAAAAAAAACCCACATTGTTTGGAAACAATGAAAGCAACAATTTATAGATTCTATAATATATATATATATATAAACTAAAAAAAGTGCAGATAAAATTTGACAAAAGCCAGTGAAATACATCGTATGAATTCCAAGATAAACATTAGGGCGATGAGTTCCCCAATACAAGCTCTCCTTGTGATTACCTTGAAATTACAACAATTGATTCATCCAAATCTCAATAACACATACAACATCATACACATACGTACATATATACATATATATGTATATATATATATATATATTGTATGAGTTCATTCAAATTGTAGATGAAAGTTTCACCTGAGAAAGATCCATGATCTTTGGGTTAGGAAATAGGGTCATGACCCTGGGTTCTGAGGATGTTCAACGGCAATTATAAGTCGATGAATCATGAAAAGGTCAATCAAGAACGCGATGATACCAAACCCTAGAAGAACTTTGAGATCAACATCTAGGAGGTGAATGAGATTGTGGTCTCTGCTTGCGTGCTTTCGGAGTTTGGGATTGCGGAGAGGGGTTCGATCTTCTATATGGAGTTTGATTTTGCTTCTCGCACTTCATCACCCACTTCCAGCCATTTTCAAATTAGTAAGCCAAATTTCTATGTGATATATAAGTGTGGGGTTGAGGGACCTTAGACATCACAAAATAATATTATTGAACTTTTTCATTACTAAAAATGGGAGATGGACATTAGACTATTTTTCTCTTTCACAAAACTAACTCATTACATCTAATTTCTAATTAGACTGCGCCACCAAAATAAATAACAATAACAATAACAATAATAATAATCAAATTTTAATTCTATATCCTTACACCCATTATAATACCAAATATACTCTCATTTTTACATTTCTTGTTTTTTAAACCCTAACTCTACAACCACCATTGCAACTACTATCGCAACTTCTAAGCACTAACCTCCAACCCTTCTCAACCTTCTCTTTTCTCACTGCAACTCCTTTTCACATTGTGAAACCCTCATTATTCATTGGTGAGCCATTCTTCCATTGTGACCTTTTTTTCTAGCCCTCTACCACTTTCTACATTTGGGGTTTTAAAGAAGAATGGGAAGAACAAGATTAAGAAAATGATGCATGAGGATTTTAAAGATATGGGGTTTGAAGATGCAACAAGTAGGGTTTTCAGTTGGTGGTAGGGAGAAAGGAAAACAGTTGCTGGAAAAAGAGGGACTAGGAGGAGAGAGATGAAGAGGGGTGTAGACACCCCATTTTTGACCATCCTCAAGACTTGGACGTCATCGTTTGAACACTCGATGATCATCCATACTCGTGTTCGTTTTGAGTTCTCGGAGGTCTCGGCTACGCACCTTGCCTCATCTTAACTTGTTTGTTTTGTGCTTGGTTGTGAACCAGACACTTGTGTTTTCACTTCTAAGGGAAGAGGGCGGCTTTTTTGCCATGCCCTCAACCCACCAGCCAAGGCTTGAGGCCACCGGCCATTTTTTCTTTCCATCGGCCAACTGTGTTGGCCGATCGGCACTGTTTTTGGTCAGCCGGCCATTGTGTTGGTCGATCGGCCATTTTTGCTGGCCGAACCCTGTTCATCTGCTTTATGCAGATATTTTGTGCCAGCTGACACCGCTGGCATCCACAATTACCCCCTTCTATACACGTGTATAGAAGGATTTGCACCATTTGCTTAGCTTCTCTTAGAAGCTTTGGATTGAACTTCTATAAAGAGGGAGCTCCTCCTCCCTCCTCAGAGGTTCAGGAAAATGAGGAAAGGAGAGTTAGATATAGTTTTGTATCTATACTCCCTTGTTTGATCCTCCTTTGTGCTCAAAAGTGTAGTATTATCTTACTATTGTACACAAACACACACTAGAACACCATCCTCTTGGAGCTGAGGTCTCTTGAGGTTGATTTCAGAGTTCTTGGGTTGGTTTGAACTCAGAAAACTTGCTGGAGCCTTGTTCTTGAAGAGGTTCTACAAGGGTGAGTTCCTTACTTTAGATACCCCTTTCTTGTTTAAGCTCTTAGCCCTTCTTCCTTATTGTTTTAAGCTTAGTTTATAACTGACAAAAATTCTAATTTTGTGTGCTTTAGATCTTTGTTTAAGGTCATTTTGAGGTTTGGGGTTGTTTACCCCCCTCCAAGGCCTTGTTAGGCCTTGTTTTAGGCCAGCTGGAGCTTTGTTCTTGAAGAGGTTCTACAAGGGTGAGTTCCTTACTTTAGATACCCCTTTCTTGCTTAAGCTCTTAGCCCTTCTTCCTTATTGTTTTAAGCTTAGTTTATAACTGACAAAAATTCTAATTTTGTGTGCTTTAGATCTTTGTTTAAGGTCATTTTGAGGTTTGGGGTTGTTTACCCCCCTCCAAGGCCTTGTTAGGCCTTGTTTTAGGCCATCCCTTTTGGCCCTTGCTTTGAACTTTGCATGACCCTTCCACCACTAAATCCAGAGGATTTTCAGTGGTGGAGAGGTGATTTTGGTGTCCTAAATAGGAGAGGGTCATTCTCTCTCCTTGTTGTCTTGAAAGCTTGCATAAATGGCCTATGTTTGTAGCATGTGTGCTTAGCTTGTTTTAGCTTCATTTCAGTATATATTAGGCTTTGTTTTGTCATGATATAGCACTATTTTGACTTGGTTTAGACATAGCATGCATGCTTCATGTACTTGTCTTGTAATCCCATGATTTGCCTTGACATGCATCATGCTTTAAGCCATGTTTCTAGCATGATTTTGGCTCGACTCCATAAAGCTTTTAGTCTTGTTGTAACATGCTTAAGCTCTGATTTGAGTTGTTTTGACCATATATGCCATGCTTTGTATAGCCGCCATGCATTTTAGCATGCTATCTTTGAGTGTCCAAGTCACTAGCATGCTTTACTTGGCTCATTTCAGTGATTGGGAATCACTTGCTATGTTATTTCAGTCTATATAGTATGCTCATATACTTACATTTGTTACTCCTTTATTATTTTGAAGGGTTTGTGTTTTATGCCTCATGAATGTGCCGTTGTGTATGCTATCATGCTTAGGTCTTCGGGATGCCATCTAAGTGGGTTTTTGGGCTTACTTTGACATGC